GAAGTCTCTGTTACATGGATAACATGATATTTTAGACATTTCTTCAAGATCAATTTAAGAACTAATTATTTACGTTTGCTATTGTTTACAAATGAGTAACAAATAAAATATTGTACATTATACGCCAGGTAATAGTTTTTACGAGAGCTGGCTAATAATGTAAAATACTATTTTTCCATATATTTTGTCTTATTTGCACTTATCAAAAACATATACAGCGTCTCTCTTCGAGAAATATGACGTATTTCAATTTCAACGCCGAAGTAATAAATCGTTCACGCTGCTATAAATTGTGTATATCTGAGTGGTAAATAATATTTTAACTGTTATATTTCAGTTCATTCCAAGACTGTTATAAATTTATTGTTAATTAATTGTAAATAAATAAATCATGTACTAATTAAATCTACGTTACATTTTGCTTTAAAATGACCAAATAGCTCATTTTCGTAGTTTTGCTTTTTTTTAGCGTATTAATTATTCTTTCAATATTTTCCAATTTTTTAGGAAAATGTTGTGCTATTATGACATAATTTTTGAGTTTGCTTGTCGAAATAAGAAATATTCATATTAAAAATCGTTTCACAGATTTTGTAATGACGGATATATCGAATCTTTTCTCATATCTGATACGTATGATGAGAGTAAAATTTGGGAATTATGTTACTAGCCTATATAGTCGTAGTAGGTACCCCAAAAAGTACCTTTCATTTATTCGAAGAATCGATGTCTCATTTGCAATAAACGCATACGATTTCAAATATATTGTCTAAAATCGACACGTTAAAAGTCTGTGGAAATATGAACTACATTTAAATTGTAATTATTATAATCGTAAATTATTATAGACATCTTGTTTAACTCAATTTGTCGTGGCCTATATAAAATAGGTAGTATATATCACTGTCGCACTATGCGTAGACAACTCCCCCTCAGCATGTGTTATGTTTATAAATAGTGTCTTTAGGCCACGAGGACAATCCAATTAAATATAGAATTAGGAATTTAAAAGTCTCCCGGACGGTTGAAAATCGAAACGCTGTTGATACGAGAGAACAACGCGTCACGCGTGCCAGTTTTTTTACGAATTAAAAAATTACGTACTCTGTTACCTACAGGGTGTCCAATGGCGAGTCCATTATTACGTGGATATTAATGCAAAAATGTACGTTTTTATCATAGACAGATAATTACGGACTAGCGATTTATATGTTACAAGGCGTTGTGGCATTTGTCGGCTTCTTTGATGGCCGATATAAATGTTTAGCGCATTTTTCAAAGATCTTTTTAAAAATGGTTGAACGTGTTAAAATGTAGACATTAAAGTAGTAAGACGATATTGATTTAGAGGTAACTAGGACAATAGAAACACAAGTTATGGTAGGTACTTTAAGTGAATCGGGAACGGGAAAAATTGTGTGCTAGGTATAGGCCATGGATCGAGATTTTGGTTGAATTATTCCCAATCATTCTTAGATCTGTAACCATTGTGGTCTAGGTTAAAAATTTTGGAGCAAGATGTACTCCAAAATGTTCAGCAATTTGGAGTTGAGAAAACTTTCCTCGGTATTTAATACCGAATACATGCATTTTCTGAGACGAAACATGTCAAAATAGTTTCTACTATCCACGTCGCCACTAAGATCGTTGAGAAAAAGATCAAAGCCATTAACTAGATGCCCAATATATGAATTTGATGCATGTTTGGCGAATACGTATATTTTGATCAAAAGACCTTTTGGTGTGGACGGAAACCCATTTCTGGTAGGGTGAATTTTGATCAAGAAAGCTTGTTATAGGGAGGTACATATTATGATCGAAGTGATAAAATAAATGCTCAGTAAAAGTTGTGATAATGTTGAGCATCCCGTTATATCCATTTATTAACGATCTTCCAGATCGTTTATAATTTTGTATTGTCTGTCCGTGTGCACGATAACTTTGTGCAGAAACGTCCGATCGCTTTGAAAATTGGTACATATGTTCATCAGGGTGTAAGAAAGGAAAATTGGAAAAATAAAACCCCCATCTTTTTCAATAATCTGTGATGCCATGGAATTTTATAAATAATACAAAAACTACGCCAATATCCGTCATGCCATGGAATGTCTGCTATACAACAAATCAAATTCTATCAAAAAGTATTATAAACCTTTCGCCAGGAAAGATTGCCGGTCACAGAACACCTGATCCCGGTCTACAATCTATGTTTTTCTTAAGATGCGAGCGGCTTCCGGGATAGTATCGTGTCATTGTTGAACAAAAAGACTTTTCGTTCAACATTGGCACGATCCTATGCCCGGAGTCGCTCGCAACTTAAGAAAAACATAGATTGTAAATCGACACAAGGTGTGCTGTGACCGACAATCTTTTCTGGTGAGAGTTATATTTAGAACAGCGAATTCAACATAAAGAAAGACTAAATTACTAAAAACGGTTTCCTAATATAACAATTTACAATAAATGTTCGAATAAGTCACCTTTAACTGCAGAGACAGTAACCAAGTCGATCATAAAATCCATTCCGAACTGCTGCTAATTGATAACAGGATATCTTTTTGTTTTAGAAAATTCCATGGCATCGCAGATTATTGAAAAAGATGCGGGTTTTATTTTTCCAATTTTCCGTTTTTATATGAAAAAAATTGAAAACTAATACGGTTGATTGGGGTAAAAAATGTTTTTCTACAAAAAATCTTAATACATTTTTGCTCTAAAACAATTTGGGGGGCCAATAATCACATGTTGTGAATTTTACATTGAAATCCCTATGATGCGTTACGCAAGTCACCACCCTGTATACGGACCTCGAATAGAAGTAAAACTAATGCCGATTCAAAACTTTGTTTTACAAGCTATGCTGATCTAGTAGGACAGAATTAATCTCTTAAAGTGTGTTGTAAAAATGATGTATGTGCGAAGATCTCGAGGATCGTTCGGTATTCAGTTGTATCGGATTTTTATTTTCACAGTTACAGCATTTGTAATTTACTGTTGCTGTAAATTGTGAGAATTTTTTTATGCCTCTTAAAATAAGTGAATAAATTAGTCGTCAAAATAATTTCCGTGTTTATATACATAATTTAAAAAAATTAAGTGAATACTTTCTTTGTAATTACAGTAAATATGCGTTATTAGATAAGCAAAGAAAGACTTTCTCATATTTCTTTTTTAGGAATTCCAGTGGAGTCTATGATTTGACATTATATTAATTTACTTGCACCATCATAACATGAACTCATGCTATTACAAACAACCAATTTTGCTATAAAGTTTAATATTAATTTGTTGGCTGTTTTTCTTGGTCTTTTCTTTTTTTACCAGCCTATTTTTAGCGCATTTTTTAAGAATTAAAAAAAATGTCCTATTGTTTGCGTTTTGTCCGTCCGACCGGACCCACTTCTACCTTTTTGAACTACTTGTAGGGGAAGGTCCTAGAGTCCTGGAATGTTTTGCAGTAGGTATCAAATTAGGCCATCATCGCTGTCTAAAAGGGGGCCCCCCCCACGACTTATTACCTGAGATGCTGTTTTTGAATGTAAAACGTGTATAACTTTTACATACGACAACCAATTGGTCTCAGATTTTGCATACGCATGCCTTTAGTGGTGCCAAGTTAAACAGTAGAAAATGGTGGGAGGGGGGGTGTTGTGCCAACTACTGCTCTTCTTTCTATCCTATTATCAAAGTACGAGGTGGAGGGGGAGGGGGGGCGGAACTAGATTTATCCTTCACGGTACTCTGATGAAAGGTCTCAACGAAAGGAATTCATTTCTACCAACCATAGTCCTCCTCCTCGACCTCTTATCGTGATCGGGTATATTCCCTTATACCTCAAGAACGGATTGTCGGAAGAGGGTACTCACAAAGGGTGATTGAGACGTCTGCAAGGAATATATCCATTGCTGATGTCAAGCTATTTCTGTTAAAAAATTGCGCTTTATCTGCACAAGAGTTGTGCACAATGTATACTTGTTATATTTGTACTTGGTGAACTAGGTACTATTTTCTAAATTTAATCTTGTAATGCGAATTATTTTGATTAAATCTCCGTTTTTAAAACATGTACTTATTTTATTGGTATTCCTTACTTGATCCTCACTCTGACAAGTAACACATATCTTGTAGCGCCTTTTAAAAACACAACGTAGTAAGTGGTTCTAGTATTTTGTTATTCAGGTTAGGTAGCTTTGTCTCTAGACGATCATGTGCTCTGGGATTCAGTTTGGGAGGGAAAGTGTTGAATTAAAATCTTGAGTTTCGCAGTCTTTCGGGGCTGACCTGGGTACGTCACAATCTCATGGTATAAATAGTGTTCTAAAACAACAAAAAATATATTATTCATCATGGATAAATAGTTACGATAAAACAAAAATTACATGTTATGCTAAAGAATCGCACGGTGTGGATCCAAATTATATCCATTCTAAGTCAACCATTCCGAGATGTGTTAGGTCAACATCAAAAATTCTGCTTACTAGAGTTAATGTTAGTTGTAACTTTGATGTTATTTTGACCATTTAATAGAACATTTTTTCGTGAACATTGAGTTGAGTTCAGACAGATGTTATACCTACCTAAGCCTTATAAACTTGATACTCTAAATCTAAAGTTCAAAGAAAACAATAGATATATAGGTACTAGAATGGAGAAATTATTAGCGAAACTTTAAATTTACATTATGTACCTACTCTTGTCCTCAAGTGTATTTTATTATAGGAGCTAAGGTGGTTTCTTTAGTAAGAGTGCATACTTTGTGCAGTATTTGAAATTCTAATACTGCAATAATAATTTGAAACCAAACGCCAAATAGAGAAGGCGCAAAAATTCGACCTTTTCCTTTTTACAAAAATACAAAGCGTCACGTAATCCAAATTTCGTAACAATTCAATAAATGCGTGTGCTGAAAATCACATAACAAAATAATAAGTCTTTAGAGATAAAATAGAGAAAATATGCATTCCACAAAACCTTAAAAAATCGCATAAAAGTATGGAAATTATGATCAGTAAAGTAAGCATAAACATAAAATACTACTAAGTAATCAGCAATTACATAAAGCTTCGGTAAAATTCCGCATATAAACGTAAAATACTGGATGAATCGCAATTTCAGAGATGATGTTGAATTTTTGTGGCTTTATTCGGCTCGTAGTGTTGCAGATTAAAGTAAATGGACAGTGGTTAAGGTTGCGAGATTTAATTTGTTTTGGATTTTAGGAACCACTTTGGGAATTTTCCGGAACCAATAATAATCGATTAAAAAAAAAAAGTGCGCGAGAGCATCAACACGGTACACAATCCTTGAAATCCGGAGGCCCGTCAAACAAGAAATGCCACTTTTTTACCTTTTGGTCATCCAGTTCTGCACTAAGTAGTGACGACAAACTGTTACCAATTGAGTTAATTTAGTGTTGGTTAGTATGTTGTTAATGAAAAGCGCGTGTAAATAAAAATTGTGAATGTGCACAAATTACTTATATAAAAACCAGACGATGCAACTGATGGTAACGTATTTGTACTTGATGGCCTTTTTTTCTCAATCAATCGGAGATTATTGGTCGGAGCGCCGGTCTCTTGTCTCTAACGAAAACGCCCAAATGCTTGGATCTAATGTTGAGCTGAACAAAAAGGAGAGAATTGTAAATGAGTATCTGATGAATTTAAAATTCTCAGAGTTTGACGAAGGGTTTGATACACCTAGCAATTTTTTGCCTAGTCGCCATTTTTTTCAAGCACGCCGAAGTATAGAAAAATCGCCGGTGTTTAAATTCATTAGGGATATGCCCAAGGGTGGGGCGCTACATGGACACTCTTCTGCATTGCTTTCCTTTGAAGGATTGTATAATATCACTCGCGAAAAAAATTTACACGCGTGCTCCTTTAATGATAAGTTACGTTTGAAGTTTATGCTCACACCTGCTCAAGATCCACTCTGCAAGTGGCAACTGGTGCATGACTTGCGCAAGGCGAATAAATCATACGATAACTGGCTTCGTTCGCAATTAACCCTCGATTCTGATAATCCAAGAGGCACATACAGAGATATTAACCAAGTGTGGTCCACTTTCTCTAAGATTTTCGCAACGGTAAAGTCTATGATAACCTATCGACCAGTTTTTGAGCAGTACGTTTACCAAGCATTAAAAGAACTTAACGATGATCGAGTAATGTACGCGGAGATCAGGGGAAGTTTTCCTGCTCTTTACGAGTTAAATGGCACAGTGTACACTCGGACGGAATCTGCAGCCATCCTTCACGGTGCCGTTGCTGCCTTTCAACGAGACCATGTCAATTTCTATGGCGCAAGGTACATTTACGCTCCCCATCGAAAAGTGAACAATAGTGTAGCGAAATACTACGTGGACACTGTAAACGAATTACACAATCTTTACCCAAACTTCATATTGGGGTTCGATTTAGTTGGACAAGAAGACAAGGGTGACCCTCTTTTCAAATTCATCGAGATATTACAATCCATCTCGAAGAACGTCAGTTTGGTCTTCCATGCCGCCGAAACGAATTGGTACGGAACTAGTTCCGATTTCAATCTTTTTGACGCCGTACTTCTCGGGACGAAACGAATCGGCCACGGGTTCGGTCTAACTAAACATCCCCACCTAATGAGGCTTATAAAGGAAAAAAATATTGCCATTGAAGTGTGCCCAATTTCAAATCAAGTTCTGATGCTGGTACAAGATCTTCGGAACCATCCGGCCGCCTTCCTCATCGGAAGAGGATTTCCGATCGTCGTAAGCTACGACGATCCCACTTTTTGGTCGAGTAAGGGTTTAAGTTACGATTTTTACATGATGTTTATGGGCATTGCTAGTAGAAATGCCGATTTAAAGTTACTGAAGAAGTTGGCAGAAAATAGTTTAACGTACAGCTTACTGCCTGAAAGGGAAAAGGCGGCGGTAATCAAGCAATGGAATAAAATGTGGAACGAGTTCATTGATTTAGCATATCGGAATATATTAAACTATGGAAAAATTTGGCACTGATGAATTAAACATGCATTTTTTCATTGTTTCTTTTGGCGGTAATAGTGATTTAATATTAGGAAAAAACCATTTTGATCTTTCTGATGTATGGAAATAAATAAAAGTTGCATTTGAATTTGTGTGTATAACTGACCAAAATTCTTTATTTCTTTCTTCTTTCACTTTAGTCCTGTGGTGTATACGCTATTTTTTGTACTCCTGTATCTAATATCATCTACAGCATTTTCAATGTTAAAGGACAAATTTGGAAGAAAAATATTTGTTTGATTGAATCAATCAATCAATAACCTTATCATGTTAAGTTGTGACCGTATAATAATAAATGTCAGTTTTATTTAAAGATTCTACTTCAAAACTACGGCGCAGAAATGACGGTTTAAAACTTTGCCGAACAACTATGAGGAAACTAGACCTCCAACATTCAAAAATATATACGGAAAACTGTATAATAACCAATAACTACGAGTATCAAATTTCATTTAAATACCTTCATTAATAAAAAGTTTGCAATTCGGCTTATAAATGGTCGAGATGCGAAAAGGGCAATGTGAATGTTGATCGATTAGGCTCAATTTTTGGAGTTGCGTTTTGTATAGCTAAAGCCATACGCATATTGAATTTCATGCAATTCGGTTCATAACTCACGGAGATGTCAAAAGGGCCTGCCTTATTTTTTGGGCTACATTTCCAATTCACGAACTCCGATCTACAAATTTGATAAAGCATCCACCTACTAAATTTTATCGCAATCCGTCCATTCGTTATCGAGATATCTTGTTAACGGACGGACAGACACCGCAAAATTATAAACTCGCCAGGAGCTTGTTAATAAAGATCACAATTGATCATTTAATTTCTGGCGCACTCGTATACAACTTCCCATCAACTCGCCTACATTCATACATTTAAACCATCTTTACTATTCGTAGCATAATTACGCTCACCACAAATTAAACAATCGGTACTTTTCGATGTGTCGTGCTTTAATGAATGATTATATACAGTGTGTCCCCGGATGGACTGAACAAGAGGGAAAAAATTTTTAATTTGAACTTTACGAAAAAATGTCATTCTTTATAAAAATTTTTGCTTGCCTCAAAACCACCTATTCTGAAATAAAAATTTAGATATTCCTTTTAGCAGCTGAGAAAATTCCAAAAAACGCAAAATCAGCGTTGCATTTTTTTGATTAAATCAGACTATCATTGTATCTTCCATGGCAACAAAAAATCACGGAAGCGATAAATTTTGTCAATGAAGATACGATCCACAATGTTTATAAAGAATTTGTATGTAGAGCTGAAAAGTGTGTAGAGGTTGGAGGATACCACATTGAATAAAATAAAATGTTTCTCTTAAGCTCTAAGGTGTCTTTTTTAACTTGATTTGCTTATCAGGTTGCCATGGAAGATACAAGGGTAGTCTGATTTAATCAAAAACATGCAACTTAGAAAAATTTCCGCTGTAGATTTTGCGTTTTTTGTAATTTTCTCAGCTGCTAAAAGGAATATCTAGATTTTTTTTCAGAATAGGTGGTTTTGAGGCAAGTAAAATTTTTTATAAAGAATGACATTTTTGCGTAAAGTTAAAGTTAAAAATGTTTTCCCTCTTGTTCAGTCCATCCGGGGACACACTGTATGTGGCATATTTAATCGCACAGAGCGCACGTAACATCCTTCAATGTGAATATACTGTTTTAAGTTATGCTTATCGTGAGTAGCGCAATTACACTGTTCACAAATAAAATGTTTGAGAAGTTAGTGTGTGTGTCAATAGGTGACCCTTTAAGCGAACGCTTAATTGTAGCTTGATTACGCTGTTTAGCAGTGTTAGAAAGTAATTCAAAGCGGAGTGTGTCCAAGAATATACATATATATCCTATTTTTTATTGTCTAATTGCACTGTTCACAATTAAAGACTTCGAAATGTTAAGCGTTAGACGATGATTCTTTAGTGTTAGGTGAATTATTGCAATGTTCATAATTAAAGACTTTGGAAATATGCTTTAGACGATGATTTCTTAAATTACCCTTATTGTTGGTTGCATAGTTGCACTGGTCACAATTAACATTTTTGAAAATACCGTGCTGATGTGGTATTTTAAACTATCCTTGCTCTTTAAGGTGTAATTACATTGATTGCAAATGAAATTTTTGCAAGTGTGTTTTGTAAATAAATTCTAAATTAATTCCGTCTTCATCTCTAACAAAGTTATGTAAAACTGCATTAACAAAACTATCGTATAGCTTAGCTACAGCATATTTCGAAATCTTCCTTTCCGCATATGCTACAAAACACATTAAAATTATTAAAGTACCAACCACTAACAAACCACCTTTCAAAAAATTGGAAATTGCATTCGTGTGTGCGTACGATTTTATTACATTCTCCGTAACCGAGCATCTCCGTTTGCAGCATTTTCAGGTAACCTATAAGTTATAATAAATGATTTAAGGGCGCCGAAATGGAATAAATTTTGTGTAGGTTTGCGGAATGCTGCGGTAAGAATCCCCTTCTGTCGTACTATAGTGACAGAAAAGATGGGTTACAAAATTGAATCAGATAAATTGAATCCCGGAGTCTGAATGTAAACAAAAACTTATGAAATGAAACCGAACACTTTTCGCAATTGAAAATTGTTTGAAAATTTCCAACATAGTGTAAACAGGGTTTGTTTAACGGGGTGGTTGAAATTTCTAATTATTGTAGATCGATATTAAATTAAATTAAATATTAAATGTTCATTTCAAAAGGGAAACGAAACGTAAAAATTGGAAATGTTAAACAAGCGACCGAAAAGGATAATGGGGTGTGTCAAATTTTAAAGAGGATCGCCTCTTGTAGCACGGAACTTCTCCGGTTGCTCCCCTTGAAAATATGGATCTGTATTAAAATTTTTCCGGAGCGCTATCTTTTTTCTAGAGTAATTACTTACGACAACGAATGAACGTGTCAAACTCTCAACAGGCAGCTGAAATCACAACGTCAAGTTTTCCAATTTAACGACATTTTTCCAGAGCAATTACTGTAGAAATTAAAAATATTTGTTTCGCCATAAGCTCCATAAATTTACGATAGAATTGCACAAACCCGATATATTCGTGCACATATTTATATTGGCCCAGTTATTCCCCCAAATAGAATTCCATCGAAATGTAGGTTAGAGTGGGGTTCCACCCCACTTGCGTATTTTTCGCACGAAAAAATTTACACGCGCGTGTATCTTCATGCCTCACGATTTTATTTCAAAAGCCACTATATGGACATATTGCCGAGTGATTTTAATTAGAAAATCTCGTACATATTATATTTTGGCGTGACTATTTCCCCTACCGAGAACAACTGTAATTAAGGGTAATATTGATTGTTTCCAAAACATACATTCTTTGGCAATAAATAAACCGATACAACGAAATATCGAAGGATCCTCAGTATCACAATCACTTAACGACAATTTATTTTAATCTTCATTCATGTCTTCTTCATTGAGATAATGCTCTTAATATTGTTCCCAACGATATCAGTGCAAAGTTAACGGTTTTGACATGTTTTGATCAAAATCCATGTGGTCGCAAAAAATAGATCACATTCATGTTTTGATGATTGAGATAATGCTCTTGGTCTTTTTCCCAACGTTCTTGGTGCATAAGTAACGATTTTGACATGTTTTGATCAAAATCCATGTAATCCCAGAAAAATAATTTAACATCTTTGAATCACACACATAAGATTATCAAATGTGCACGTGATGTACTCTTTCAGCATCAAGATAATGCGTTGGAAAACTTTTAAAACTCCAATTTCATGTGTAAAAAATAATTTTGGGTACATTTTGCTCTAAAACTTTTGACCTGTACCACAGAGAAGAGTTCTATTGAATTCATACAGATCTAAGACTCATAGGCAATAATCTAGCGAAAGTCCGAACTGGATACATGACCTAGAATGAAATATGTTGATTTCTATTATATTTAGCGCGCAGTTTTTCCTGCTCTCGATTCACTCAAAGTCCTATAACTTTCCTGTTCCTGTTGAACCAGGTTCCTGAAAATCAATAGCGTCCGTCCTTAATGTCCAAAGTACCCGTACACCTCGCCGTACACCAAATTTCAACACAATCGGACACTTTTAAAAAGAGTTAGAGCGCACACGGACGGACGGACGACAATACAAAACTATAAAGGAAGGATCCTTAATAATCATTTCCACACAAATTACAAAATGCGCCATTTTTGTCACTTTGTCCGTCCGTCCCAGCGGTTGTGATACTATCAGATTTTGCTCTTACGAGCTATTGCTCTGCATTTTTCGCTGTATGGTTATTTATGGTATCGAGGTTTGCACAAAGCTTTCCCCAGTTTTTGGACTTAAAATTAATTGTTTGAAAAATGAATTAATCGATTTGATTTTCGTTTGGAACGAGGCAGATAAAAATTGCCTTTTTTGCATGGTCACCTCGGTATTATGAAAAGTACATATTTAAGATTGTAATATAAAAACCAGGAAAACCAAGATATTTCGAAAACTATCAGAGGTAGGTATAGGACATTATTATCAAAAGTTGAACGTTTTTGGAGGAGTTAAAAGATGATAGAAAAATATCTAGGGTGTTCCATTTAAAAAAAATTAGATTTTTTAATATGAAGTTTTATCACTTTGGACCTGCAAAAACACACCCTGTAAGCTATTTTGGTAATGTTTCATAGTAGATGTATTTATTTGACTTTTACTGTACCCAGGATAAAAGTCGCGTGGAATCAAAATTTAAGTAATTATTTTGATAATAAACTGACGCTTGCAAATGCCAAATTTTTCTTACAAATCGAATTATCTTTAAAACTACTACTTTTTCGGAGATTAACCACATAATAAAAAAGTCGTACAATTACACGTAGAATTAAAAAATGCATTCAAATACAGGGGGTTTCATTAAAAAATGTATCATTTTAGCGCCTTACTTTATGAGCGTACTCTGTATAATACCAAATATTTTTAAAATGTGGAGAATACTCAAGTATATCATAATACAAAAGCACTCTATCGGAAAATCTTGTCTTCAAGGCATTAAGTTACCCCGCGCAATCGTTGACTCACCCAGTACATCATATTTAGGAA